CACACTGTCCAGCTGCTGCCGTTTCCTGTCCTCTGCTGGTGTGTTTGCTCCTGTTTTCCTTCTCCTCCTCTTTCTCTTACCATCATTTTCTCCCCTTCTTTTTAGCAGTAACAGTCTTGGCTCAGTTTGGCAGGTTGACCTGGCTGCTGTGTGCCTGCTGACCCCGGAATCTGCCATGGGCAGTGCTCTTAGATGTCTGTCTTCTGGACTGCAGTTGCGGACTCCCACTCTTTACCTTCTCCCCTTCCAGACTGTGGAGTAATTGCTTTTGTTCTAAGTTCAGAACATATCAACTTTGGCTCCTCCAGTCTTTAAATGCTTTTTCCTTCTGACTTCCCTTGTTAGTTGTCAAGAGCTCTCTTGGCCTTAACCATTTAGATTCTAGCTTCTGCTATCCTGAACCCAGTACCCTACAAAAAATGATATAATTGAACTGCTCTTTCTTTGAATCCTGCTTCCAAAATTTCAGCTAGATCTACTTCACATTAGCCTTCTTTTCTATCCCATACTATAACCTTATCCTACTTCAAACAGTATTGCATCAGGCATTTTATTTTATTTTTTTGCTCCAAATGTCTACTGACTTTCTTGCCTCCAGCCTGAAGGATATATAAATATCCCTGTACCAAGCGCACCTGCTCAATGAACCTCTTATGCTAATGTTCGTTCATAAACTTTACTGGCTTCCGGGAGACTGTACTTTTATAGTGTCATGGTGACAGCTGTCTTTCAGGGATGACTCTGTGTTTAGTACTCTGCCTTACACCTTTTGTTCTGTTTGTGACCTCCATGAGAACCGCATAAAAGGAGTGGGACTCTGCTATAGCTTACTGCTGAGTCATTACCTTGTGTACGTCATTTAACTTTTGAGTCTCAGGTTCTTAGCTTTAAAATAGCTTGCCTGTGTATCAGAACAGTCATGAGATAAGAAATGTTTTAGAAACAAAACGCTTCTTTAGAAACAAGGTATTAGCCCATTGGTTTAAATATGAATTTATAGCCCATGGAACATTTCCTTAATTTTCACTAGCTATGTTGACTAACTTTATTAATTTAAGCATTTAAAAATACTTAATAGTAAAACAAAATACAAAATAGTAAAACAAATCCCCGTGTACCTGTGTTTCAGCTTCAGTAGTTACAAAATCATGTCAATCTTAGTCTACAACTTTTCCTTTTCCTTGTTATATTTTAAAAACAAATCCTAGCCATGTTTTGTGTTTTGGGAATCCTGTAATAAACAATTTATTCTGACTTTATTTTTCTCTGTGAGACAGGGACTCATGTAGCCCAGGTTGGCCTCAAAATGGCTATTTAGCCAAAGATGGCCTTGAACTGTTGCTCCTAGAGCCCCCACCTCCCTAGTCCTGGACTGTAGGCACAGGCATGCTACCATACGAGTGTCATGTGTGCTAGGCATGGAGCCCAGGACTCACTTTTGTGTATGGTAGGTTGGTACTGTATTCACTGAATTACAAACCCCAGTCCTTTTTCTTTCTTAAAAAATGAAATTTCTTAAAATTACATATTTTTATTGTGCGTGTGTGTGTGTGTGTGTGTGTGTGTGTGTGTGTGTGTGTATATGCATGTGTGTACCCACATGCATACTGTGTCACACGTAGAAGCAGAGGGCAGCTTATGGAGTTATTTCTCTTCTTCCACTGTGTGAGTTCCAGGACCGACTGAGCCATCTTGCTATCCCTGTTCTGACTTGCACAATCACGTTGTCAGCACTGTAGAGGACACCGTTCTTTCTCAGGTGACAGAAACCAATAATCCTCAAATGGAGTTGCCAGAAAACTAGGATTGGAGTTGAGTGATTATCCAAGATTCATTTAATGTTTAAACCCATATGTAGACAAGTATGTCACAGTGTGGCTTTGAGGTGTTCACCCCATGTAGAATAATAAAAAGAGCCATTAACTGAAAGTTTTATAGTTACTATCAGCTTGTAAGCTGATTTACCAGAACATGAACATAGCCATTATTATTTCTTCTTCTTCTCTGCTGTAGTCTTAGGCGACCAGGCTAAGAGAATGTACTAATCTTAGCCTCACTATTCCACTGGAAACTGCTTCCTAAGAAACACAGAGCAAGAATGTGATACTCAAGATTAGGGTTACAAAAATTTTTACAATACCTAAGACATTTAAAAAATGCATAGTATGGTAAAGTTTTTTTTTTTCTTTTAATATTTTGGTGAATATTTCAGTCAAGCTGCAGTTACAGCTCAGGCCACATCAAGTGCCAGCCCAGCCCAGCCTACTGCATCACCACCTCTAAACTTGGCACATGTTCCTGGAGAAGAGCCTCCACCAGCTCCCAACCTAGTAGCCCAAGACAACGGGCCCATGAATGAGAATGTCCAAATGAACGCGCAGGGGGGACCAGTGCTGAACGAGGAGGACTTCAACCGTGACTGGCTAGACTGGGTGTACACATTCTCGCGGGCTGCAGTGCTGCTCAGCATCGTATACTTCTACTCCTCTTTTAGTCGGTTTATCATGGTAATGGGAGCCATGCTGCTGGTTTATTTGTGAGTGATGGGTATTAACTGTTTGTGGTTTCTTTTAATGCTTTCTAAAACAGTTTATCACAGAGTCTAGCATAATGTAGTTAGTTAGAATGAAGGGTTTTTAATATTGGCCTTCAGCTATCCAGCATGTTGATGCTAGTCAAAAGTAATGGCAGAGGTATTGTGTAAGAATATTTATCAGAATTGTTTAAAAGCAGAATATTTGTTTCTTGTATTTTATGTAAATTATTAATTCAATGATTCATAGACTTTCAGTTATTTAGAACTCAAATATATGATAAATGTTATCATAAGGATGTACTTTTAAGTTACATTTATTAATACTAAGTCAAGTGGCAAAGAAATGTATCTAGTTATATTTCATTTTGAAAAAAGCTCCAAAAGATTTTGTGATTTAATGTGTCACTTTGAGCCAGTTATATCCAAGATAGGCTTGTGGATTTGAATTGAATTTTGTTCTGCTGTTATTACCTTTAGAAATCCACTGACTTGAAGTAAGATACTTGTTTTTATCATTTATTACAACGCCTCCAGTAGTTTTCCCTGAGGGACTCTGTTTTATAGTATTGAAAACACAAGTGATTGTGGCTTATTTTCTCTATTTTGCTGAACAGACACCAGGCTGGATGGTTCCCTTTCAGGCAAGAAGGCGGTCAGCAACAGGTTCCTAACAATGTGGACGTTAACAACGATGGGCAAAATGCAAACAATCTAGAACTTGAAGAAATGGTAGGTTATTGGCTTTTGCGTGGATTTTACAGGTAGATAGTCCTTAGTCCTATATGGGACAGAAATGGCGATAGACTCTTGGATGCTTTGCAGATACCCGAGGCACACAAAGAAAAGCTGATGTAGAAACTGGTGGTGGTTTCATCTGGGGAATTTAGCATGTAATGCTGAGTCAGTCATATCCTCTGTTAGAATAAGTGGGAAGGATTAGTATCTTTCTAAAAATAGTCTTGAGAGATACTATGCCTGAGTAAGAATTCATTTTATTGGCAGTTGTTTACACACTACAGAAATGATTAATTTTAGACTTCACAATGACTTCTAATTACCCCAGATCTAACTTTTTTCCTGCACACTTAGATTTTTTCTTGCTATGGAAAATATTTAGCTCTCCCCTGTGCTACTGTAAGTTTGCGTTTGTGGTACCGGTTACTCAGGACTGTTTATGTTGTTCAAAAGGAGCGTCTTATGGATGATGGACTTGAAGACGAGAGTGGAGAAGATGCAGGTGAAGATGCCAGTGCAGTCCACAGGCCCGGCTTAATGGCTTCAGCTTGGTCCTTTATCACCACTTTTTTTACTTCACTAATACCAGAGGGGCCTCCCCAAGTTGCCAATTAGACCTGAAAAACTGTGCCAGCTGCAAAGGAGGGTTTGACTTTAGAAAAGTGGTTTAAATAACAGTGCAATTTCAAAAAAAAAAAAAAATGTATAACTTTCTTTTGATGATCATGTACAGAGGTCTTTTCTTTAAGCTTCTCACGCATATGAATATTTTAAGCACAAATGGACTACTAAGCGTGTGATTTTTTTTTTGTTTGTTTAAAGATCCTAACAGAACATAGCATAACAGTACTGGTCTTCCAGTTTTATTCATTTCAATTATGTGTAGTGCGCCAAGCAGAACCACTGTGTGTTGTTTCTTTAAAGAGCTGCTACACCTTTAAATGTCCATAGCTAGACGGCCAGCCCTTCAATGTATCCTTTGAAAAATATATCTATTTTCTGTGAATTATCCTGAAAGTTTTAAACAGAAATGACCTCATAGTTTTTAATAAAGAAGTTTATTTACCTAAAATGTGCTAGTAGCATCTTGCCCACCCATAAAGCAATAAACTTCTCAAAAATCTTAATTTTGACATTTGAATAAATGATGGAAACTTTCTATTTTAAGGACACATGTCGCATCAGTTGGAATTAGTATCTTAAAAGAAATAAAAGGCAGCTCTTCATTGGAATTAAGTGATATAAAATGTTTGATATGGCAGTACTTTTATAAAATATGCTGGAAATTGCTCCCTGTAATTTTTTAAATAAAAAGTCAATTATGATAAATAGCCTTATGGGATATTTATTCAAGTTCTTCAATACTAATTGACCTGCAAAAATATATTTAAATTTTACAAGTGTTTGGAAGGGTTAATGTCTTCCGGGTCAGTTTGGCCTTCTGCCATTCTAAAGGGCACTTCTTAGTTTCCAGGCAGTCTAACACTGACAGAAATGCTCCTTGGGTTTGAACCTGAGGACCTGCAGGGTAGTGGCAGAAGAATGGAGAGCTATTGAAACTCTTGATAAGTTTATTTCCTTCTGTTGGGAGCTAGAGAAAAGAGCTGTGGAATCTGTCGAGGGTGCAGCATTTTGGGGCTACTGTTGTCAGGTGTTACAGAGGACCCTACAGGGGGAAATGAGCCTCTTTCTTGTGTCTCAGGCCAGGCAGAGCCTCAGGAGGAGGCTGCTGCTCAGATTTGCCTTGAGAGAGGTACAACTGTGGGTTCTAGAAATGGTAAATATGTTACTATTTTTAATAATTTTCTCCATGTTGTTAATTTCTTCATATCAGCCTTACTTTCAATAAGTCTTGGTAAAAAAACAAAAACAAACAAAAAACTCCAAAAAACTAGTCAAGTGTCAGCTGTGTTTTGGAGAAGCCTATATGGTGCTTGAAGATGGTTTTCAGATAGCAGAAGAGGCTATGTGGAAGCCCAGAGACTGGTCTGAAGCCAAGTCATGACCAGTGATAACTAGGATATGTTTTCTAGAGTGCTTCCAAGGCCTTTATATTCTCTACACTCGACAGAGGGATTAAGCTTTCTCCACTGAAAGGGTCTATGTGTGGGCAACAGGAAAGAGAGGCCCGAGGGCTGGAGAGGTGAAGACCTTTGCTCCATAGTTTGACCCACAGCTCAGTGTACTAACTAGTTTCTAATTGTTTTGTTTTTGTTTTTGTTTTTGTTTTTGTCTCATAGTTAAGACTGGATTTCCACCTCACATTTTAGTAGACTATGGTGAGGCAGATTCTCATCTGTTGAATCTTGAACGGTTGGCACTGGAGTTGCAGAACTGGACCAGGCTCTGGCAAGTGGGTTCTTCACTAGCAAGTTGTCTGGGAAGCCAGTAGGGCCAGCTCATCTCCACAGGTGAAAGGGCTAGCCTTGCAGATTCAAGGTGGTGGCAACTTCTATGTGGTGGGTACAAAGCATATTCATTGTGTCTCATTTCTCACACATACATTATACTTGGGTGTGCCAATATTTAGACATTGAGAAACATTTATACAGAACAGAATTCCATGACAATGCTTCCTGAATGTATCTGTTATGGAGTAGTGCAAGCCTTTTCTTCAAGGCCTCTGTGGAGCCTATAAGAGTTGGCCTCTTAAAGAGAGCACAGAGCCATCACTCATTGTTCTGTTCCTGGCTTTCGGGCTTGTTTCCTAGCCAGGACTCTTGGGAAGAACTCTTTGCCCAGCACAGCGGGGCTGCAGCCCCCTGAAGACCTGTCTATAGCAAACCCCCATGGGTGCAGCTGTCCTTTCTCTACACTTACGGGTATGTCCCAGAGGTCCCAGTCTTGGAGACCAGTTTGGAAGTTATCTTGTCAAAGCTTCCCAATCCCACTGCTGAGTTCTGACTCTTCCTCTTACTGACCTACTTTACAAAATGAGCTCGTGCCTGAGTAAGCCAAGGCTACACAAGAGGCAGGTGGGCAAACTGAATATGGATGGTCTTCACCAACTGTTGTTCTCATGGAAGACGCACAGAAAAGCTGCTGTTGGGCCATCCTGGCCAGTTACACAATGATAAAAATGACTAGCTAGAATGTTTCAAAACTATTGCTGGTGTTCAAACATACGCCATATTCCTGCTGCCTAGTTATGTTTTCATTGTTGTGATGAGCACCATGAGCAAAAGCAACTTGGAGAGGATAAACTTAGTCTATCATGAAGGGAAGTCAGGGCATGAACTCAAGGCCGGAAACGGGAAGCAGGAACTGAAACAGACTGTGGAGGATGCCTGCCTACTGGCTTGCTCCCCGTGACTTGCTCAGCTTGCTTTATACCACACAGGATCACCTGCCTAGGGGTGGCACCACCCACAATTGGCTGGGTGCTTCCAAATCACTAATCAAGAGAATAACCTACGGATTTGCCTGAAGGTAGTCTGACGGAGGCATTTTCTCAGTTGAGGTTTCTCCTGTCAAGTCGACAAGACACTAACCAGCACACCTGCTGTGTGCTAAGTGTACCTTCGTTTTAAAATGTTTAAAACAACTCAAGGTAATGTTCATTGTTACTTCTGTTTTCCACATGAGAACACATCTAGTTAAACAACTTGCCCCAAATCATGAAGGTAGTATACCCCAGCATTCTGTTCTGCTTCAGACCTTGCACTCTTTTCAATTAGCCAGTTACGCAAACAAGGCCTGTGGGGGTTCTTAGCTCTGAGAAAATTGTGATGAGCTTGTCTCACACCAACCCTTTTGTGGAGAAAACAAGAAAAGTCCTCGTATAATCATCTATTTCCATGTTCCCAGGGCTGTCAAGAAAGAAAGACAAGTAAGTGTTCAAGAGCTGGGAACAGTGGTTGGAACTTGCTGGTGTAAGGGCTGGGATACTGAGTAGAAATTTTAGAAGACTTATTAGATCAAAAATAAGAGTTCAGAAACCATGTACTAAATTCTTGAATTGTCTTGAAAACATTAAAGATGCTAACTTGCATTAGAAATTAATGATGCAGGGGTGGGCTAGGAAAAGTGGAGGGAGGGGAAACTGGTTGGAATGTATTGTATGAGAGAATAATATTTTCAATAATTTAGTAAAAAATTAATGATACATTGAAGATAACTCAGTCAAGTACTTGCTATGAAAACAAAGGGACCTGAGGTTGATGCCCAGCACCCACATAAAAAACTTGTAGTAGGTTCCTGTAATCCCAGTGGTGTGGAGGTGGAGACAAATGGATTCCTGGGGCCACTTGATAGCTAGCTAAGACTAATTAGTGAACCCAAGGTCCCGAATGAGAGACCCTGCCTTAAAAACAAGGTAGACAACTCTCAAGGTTAACTTCTAGTCTCCACATGCATGTGTGCATACACCTGCACACAAACATGAAAGAATACACTAATGACAACAGTGGTATGTTTCAATGTCTATAGTGTGTTCACAAGAATGGAAGAATAATAGAAAATAATCCAAAAGAACAGCTGAAAGTGAGAAATAGGAAACTAGATCAAATAGAAGCAGAGAGGAGACATGTTTGATTGCTCCAAACAGCAATGCCAACCTATGTCAAGTGCATGAGAACCAAGCATTGCAGCCTAAAGACGGCGTCAGTCTGGATAAAGAGCACCGTCAGTGTAAGAGTACAGAAACGGGCACGAGGAGAGACCCAGGAAGCAAGGGAGAACTGATCGGAAGCTGGTGTGTGCAGCACACACGTGGGGACTAGGGAAGAACACGGCCTGTTAGGCAGCTGGGCCTTAGGGCCCTGTCTGGCCTCGAGCTGCTCAGAGGAGCCAGACTCAGGATGTGGGAGAAAGGAGAGGGTGAGGGCAAAGGAACTGGTGTCCACAACAAGGCGATTGGTTGTCAGAGTCCCTGCTTCCCCTCACAAGTGGCTCCCAGAAGTTAGAGTGCGGCTATTTCTGTCAGATCTCATGCCTTTCATGAAGTGTCCTCTGATCATTTCAGATTGACATGGAAGATTTTAGTTTAGAAAAGAATAGAAACCAGTGGTTCTCACCCTTCCTAATGCTGTGACCCTTTGAACAGTTCCTCATGTTTTGGTGACCCCTGACCATAAAATTATTTCAATGCTACTTCACAACTGATTTTGCTGCTGTTGTGAATTGTAACTATCTGATAGGAAGTATATCTGATGTGTGACCCCACAGGTTGAGGACTGCTGGTATAGAGAAGAAGGAACACATGCTTTTTGGGACCTGCTATGGATTCAGCACTCATGCATTTATAGGAAAAGAAAAGTATTAGAAATGGTCAGTAACCGAAACACACATGCGCGCGCACACACACACACACACACACACACACACACACACAGTAAAAGGAAAGGAGGGATTGTCAGACTCCAGAGCTTTCCCCTGGTGAACCTGGTTTGTCACACCGGAAATGAGCGCACACTTGCCAAGTCTTTGTGTATTGCTGCACCCCCAGTGATGGGCAGGAACCGCAGGGGCAGATAGCTGCACTGTGTTACTCTGAACACTAGGTGGTGATGTAGCACCATATAGATCTATGCTATTGACAAAGTTTTTCAGCTCTTGGGGACGCTGATAGGGAGGATACTACCTTACCTTAGCATGAGTAAGCATTTACTTAAGAGAGGAAACTCTTAACCTTGGTAATGTGGTCTTGATGTAAAACTCCAGGAAGATTGAAGGCCTTGGTTACTAGTTACTCCTGGTTCTAATCAGGTGTGATGAGTCAACTTAGGCATTCACCCCCCTTAGAGGGTTTTGTGAATGAACGAGGTGGGATAACCAGGTAGCTAGAAGCTTGGTGCTGTTGAAGGTGTTCAGAGACGAGAGATTTAAGAATTCCTCTATCTGTAAGCCAGGGTGGGGGTGAGGGGTTGGGGAGGTGCTGCCTGCTCCTACCAGCCATGTTCCCACCTGCCCCCATCTGCTTGAGGGCTTGCTGGTGATTGCAGATTCTTTCTGCAAGGAAACCTGGTTCCTCCAGCTCCTCCTGGACACCCTGGGAACTAACTGCAGAGGTGTGTACAATGGAACCACTCTGGGGGCTTCCATGGTTTATTAGTCTCCTCAGAAGGATCAAGGTCACGAGAGACAAAGGCTGGGAACTGTCCTGTCAGATATTGGAGGCCGGAAGGAGCCAGGGCTCCTAAGCGCAGCTTTGGTGGTGGGCGCTTGTGGGACAACCGTTAGCAATTGAACAGAGCCTGCAGCTTAGCCTGTCACCTAATGCTTTAATGTTCATACGGCTTTGACTACTGTACGATGGCTACCTTCAATATCAGCGTTTTGAAAAGATGGGTAAATGGTATACAGGGTTTTTTTCAATAAAGTTTTTTTGTAATGTTTTGTAAATCTGAAATTATTTCAGACTTGAAAGTAACATAAAATTATAACATTTTACCTTTCCATGACTATAGAATATTTTAAATAAACATAAAAACAGAGAAAATAGAGATGACTCTCATACAGGTGACTCAAAGGTGTTGGATTTGTAGACGGGGCGCACCAGAAATAAAATGCTTTCTGAGGAGTTGGCCAGTCATTGCAACTGTCTGAGGATCTGTCTCCACCCAGATCTGTCTCCTGGTGGTGGAACTGGATGACTGTTTTCCAGGCAAGAGTCATTTAAACATCAGACAGCCTCTCTAATAGCACAAATCTATTCATATGCTAAACATTTGCTTAATGAGACTCCATCCTATGCCTTATGCCTCATTTAGCAATTCTCTAGGGAGAGTTTTCTGTTTTTTTTTTATTATTAATTCCATAATACAGGGATTTAATCATTATTGCCTAAAATGAAAATATCTGAATCAAGATGGTCTTAATTGCTAAATGCTGTTTTTTTTTTTTTTTACATCATTCTTTAGCTCTTAAGATCTGAACTTATAATTTTGGAAGTTTTAGGAAAGTTACAGTGAAGTCACAAAAATAACAGTCCTGGCTGATCCACTCCTGTTAGCCCCACTTATGTTAGTTTGGGACAGTTGTTGCAGATAATAAACCCATTTTGATACATTATTTTAAAACTATAGCTTATTCTTTCTCAGACACCCTTGCTCTTGAGCGGACGTCCCATTTTTGTTCCAGAATCCTTTGCATGTCCTGGTAAGTTTCCTTCTCTTGACTATTCAGTGTGTTCACAGCTTCAAAACTCTCTCAGACCATTTTGTTTTTGAAGACCTGGTCCATTTTGGGAGGTATGGGTCAGATATTTTATGAGTTGTCCCTCATTTTGAATTGTGCTGACATTTTCCCCAGAAGTCAAGTGCCATTTTCATTACATTTGAGACACATGTCGTCAGCATGACTTAGCACTATTAACACTGACTTGGATTACTTCGCTGAAGAGTCAGTTTCTCC